ACCCACACACCACCCATCCCCTCCCCCCCTCACACTTATCCCACCCATCCCACAACCAGCGCCTGTCCAAAACTCCTAACCCCGTCAACCACTTAACCGTGTCACCAACCCCAAGTAGAAAGTCTGCCCCAGAATTCAAGCAGATCCCCGATCAGCAGCAGATACATTCAAGAAACAACCCTCAGGAGCAAATTATAGTCATAGGGTTTAGGGTTTAGACGTCACTTTCAAGTAGAACAGCTCCCAGGGAGTCCGGAAAAAGAGCAAAGGGGTCCGACACACCTACTGTCCTAGAAAAGCACAGAAATATTTCCAGTGAAATCAAGCAGCAAACATTTATAGACACCAAGGACAGTACCAGCATAGAACAGGCTAACTTAGGCAGGGGTGAAGATCGGTACATCCTCCTTCAAGGAAGTAATCAATGCTGCCCCCTGGGAATCGGGAGGAACGTAGAGTGAGTAAATGACAAATGTTGTAATCCTTTTGACTTGCCGGGGGAATAGGAACCGGACTGATGCTCCCTGGAATGAAATAGGAGCCAGAGCCATAAGGTTCTGTTTATTTAAATGAAAAAGAAAGCAAAAAAAGAAAAAAAGATTGGCTTTTCTCAAGCAATCACCGCCCTCTCTGTCACAAACAGTCTGGTATGCCACCACCACTGCCGTCTTCCCCCGTATAGAATGCACGTTGCACAGTCATTATCACTTTTTCTAGGCAGAAGGCTCCTCCATATACAGCTATTACGGCCATGGGCTCTATTTGGGCGAAGACAGTAAGGACGGACGGATGGTAAATGCAAAATGAATGCTCACTTGCCATGCACCTGGTAACGACTTTTCTCGTTGCCTCTACAGCCGACAATGCCATCTGCTATGGCCTTTTTTCTTAAATACGAACGGCCAGCAGGGGACAATTCTGAAATCCATGGCGAATGCACTCACTCTGGAGAACTACGCAATTCGAGCATCTTCCCTGTTACCAATCCTGATGATGTCAATATGTATTATTTATCCCTTCCACCATCTGCTGATGAAGGGTACTGCAAAACGATGACACACATAAATCGACAAATAGTTCCCCCCCCCCCCCCCCCCCCCCCAAAAAAAAAAAAAAACATAATCTAGAACAAAGTAGCACACATGTGAGGTTTTAATCTCGAGGAGGACATAATGTGCACAAAAAAGGACCACAGTGAAACTCACTCCAGCATCGCCCTTCTTTCTGCCTCATCCACTCAGGTCATGTGGGCATGAGAGCCAGGAGAAGACAAAAAAGCAGTGGCACACAACCAGTATATATCTATCGGCAAAAGGGTCCCTAGTCTGAGGTTGTGGATATTTTGGATGGGGCTGTGCGCCATCGTGGTTTGAGGTCGTGTGCTCAATGGACCTACTGTGCGACACGTGCCTGGGTGGTGTTGTGCGTGTGTGTGGTGTAAGGTAAGGAGTCTAAGGACACTACAGCCATGCAGGGGTGGGGTGGATATCATGGCCGGTATGGTTCCACTTTTATACACTGTGTCATGGATGTCGTGGGCTGAGGGCGCCGGTTCGAATCCGTGCATGCATGGGGGAGGTCCAAGGCTGGAATTACTAGTGACACACCGCAGCAGGGGAGCCAGGCGTCCACCAAGGGAAAGAAGGATGCCACGGAGCAACGTTGGCTACTGCTGACGACAGTCTGCTCAGGATCAGCACCCATCCTTCTCGATTCTTAGGTAGATGCCAGTCTGGCAGAGTCAGTATTCAGAGACTGAGTGAAATTCTAGAACGAAGACAGGCTAACAGTCGATCCTCCAAATCTCTTGAAAAATCAATGCTGATCAGGGGTCCGCCGGCAGTATGGAAGAGAGCGTGAGGGTGTAAAATTATAAATGCTGTATTTCTACAACTCCCCAGGGGAAGAGGAACCGGACCGATGCTCCCCAGAATGGATACCGAGCTTTACCTGTTTCAGAAAAGAACAAAACAAAACAAAAAAAGTCTTCATGCAGGTTCTACCACCCTACACTCCACCAAATAGTGCGAGTGTGTGTTTAGCAGGCGGATGCGTGTGTGGGCACTTTGTCTCTGTGCAACCAACCCCAAGGGTATCTGGGGTTCATGCTCAGTTATGTCGTCGCACATGCTGCTAGCGATCCCTTCTGTCTTCCCTGGAAGAGAACGCACCCTCAGCATGACAGTCACTAGGCTGAAAAAATAGCTTGTAGCTTTGTAATGCCTTCTTGATGACGGTGTGTTCCTTTCCCCCCCCTAATAACTGTTCAACAGCTGAGGGAAACTTTGGAGCGAACCAGCAAATAGACAGGTTCAATTAGTGTTTCGCCCCTATGACCTCGTGTTCTATTCCGGGGCGGGTGGTCAGTTAGCGAGCTCAGCTCTTTGGGATCCTCAGAGACGTTAAGGAATAATTCTCTCCTCTCTGTCAAAAGTGCAGTAAAGCTGAGTAAACTCAGTTCACATACCGCACGAGTCAAAGGCAGGGTCGTCGCTTTTGGTCAAAGGCCAGAATGAGGGGTCAAAAGTAGCGTCCTGAGGCCTTAAAATGTCTGAGACAGTAGTCCCTAGAGCCGAGGGGTACGGAGCCCCAAGTCAAAAACAAATAGTGTCCAGTACCCCCACGCCCGACAGTTGACTCCTGGAAAATCAAGAGTCAAACTCTACACGGGAATACAGACCCAAAGTCAAAGTCAACTTGTAGGAGTCCACCACGGCCGTCGATCAGATGCATCTCAAAGGATGTCTGCAGGTATCCAGAAAATTCTGGTCCAAGCGGGACACAGGAAAAGCATGGGACAGCGCTGCATCCAGGCCATTGACTTTCAGATAATCTGGGACGTCAACCCAAGGAGGCTGGAGGCTGGTCAACGCGAGTCAACACTATATAGAGGTGACCCAGCCACCGTGGAGATCATTCTGCCTTGCAATGGCATGCGGCCAAGCTGCTGTACGCAAGGCTGTGGCGAGAGGCTGCTGGCGCCAGGCTGTGAGGAAGGGTGCCAGCCAGAGTGTTGTGAGGAGAGAGAGAGTGGGCGGCCATAGCGGCCATTGTAGATGTTTCTGGTGTACGGTGAGGTGGTGAAGAGATCAGACTGTGAGACTGGAAGAGGAGACCGTGGGAGGGGTTCTTATCTTGTCCAACCTGTTGTTGGTGTGGTCACACTGGGGCTGTTCTTCACGTTGACAGAGGAAGGGACTGGCCAACCTCCATAGCCTGGACGAAGGGGAGGTTGTGCGCCCTGATTGATGCTGCACAGAGACTTCATCAGCCACATGTCAGATTGAGAGAATCCTGTTGAGGTGGCGCTGAGGGAGATGCTCGAAGGAGGAGAGAGAGACCAGCATACTTGTATTATTGATTAATATTGTAATACTCCTCTCTCTCCTCATTGTCTATTCTACCTTCTTGCTCTCCTCTTCGATGATTCACTGGCTTGAAGATTCAATCATGTGAGACTTGGACATATAGTGTACTATTTGATACGCGCTGGTTCCAGACATTGCTATTATTTCATATGCAGGGGTTGCTATTTGGTTGATTGTTTTTTCTCACGGAGACTGGGCTCATTGCAAAAGTAAAGAAAGCCTCTTTGAATGTCAGTTAGATCTGCCAAGGATATGAAAATAGTATGAATGTTTGAATTTTTTCACACATTTGCACAGTGTGTGTTTCGAAACTTTTTTCACATTTGTTACACACAAGTGGGTTTCACGCGAGTTTTGCACACATTTCACATTTCGCACGCAAGCGTGGAGAGAGAGAGAGAGAGAGAGAGAGAGAGAGAGAGAGAGAGAGAGAGAGAGAGAGAGAGAGAGAGAGAGAGAGAGAGAGAGTTGACAACTATTCTAGGGAAGCCATGCCCCCAGGTTCAACCGTGATACATTATTTGCTGATGGATCTGACGATTGTGGACTTTTGAGGGGGACTATTGTTATGATGAATATTGCATTGGGGATGACGCTCCTTCTTCTTCTTCCTTCGCATTTCGTCTCCATCTCACCTCCTATCTCTTTGCCGTGGATTCTCCCCATGTGAGTGCTGTGCAAGGAGAGATCTTTCTTCTGTGTATGTCCCCTCCTTACACCCCCACATGATGATGTTGGGGTGAGATGCGTCAAGTCCTCAGTGCGATGAGTCAGTTCATCCGTTTTCAGTCCTCTGCTGCCTTTTTTGCATTGCTTATGAGTCTTTCTTCGCATAGGTGATTCCTTGGTTCTGCACATTGCCCCCGATGATAGTCATGCATCAGGGGGGGGAGGACAGGAGAATGGCATATTGTGGAGATGATCACCTTTGCTTGCTTTCCATTGACGCCTTGCGCTGTATCTGGCGCTCTCTGTCGAACTCACTATGCATATGCGCATAGACTGTGAAAAGTGCAGGAATGCCATTGTACTGGAAAACATTCCTTGACCATTGATGGTAGTTAACAAACATACATAGCACATCAAAGCCACTTACTTAGTAGATTGATCATTCGTAATTGTGCAATACCAAGCACATGGAAAGCACTTAGTTTATTATTCTGTTACGATCCTGGCCAATTTCAAAGTGCAAAATCACGAGAAAGCACAATGCCGTCCAATTGCAAAAAGAAATGAATGAAATTGAGAGGAGAGGGAGAGAAAGACGAAGAAGAAGAAGAAGAAGAAGAAAGAAAGAAGTAGAAGAAGATGAACACCAGTAAAGACCAATGATAATCCCCCTTCTTCTCGGCAACCAAACTACTCCTTTACTCCTCCCCTCTTATTCAAACAA